GACATAATTTTAGCCTTCGCTTTTTTCATACTCTTCGTCACTATTTTCATAGTATTTTCATCCTCGGCTCCCAAACTCATTAGTTCCGCGAATTGATGCATTAACGTGGAATATCGATTAAATTTAAGTGAACCCGATGCCGTTTCATGAGGTTCATCATTTCACAATCCCTTCTTTGGCGCCCTTACTCTATCTTTTCAAAATATAGGGAGATGGAATAACCGTAATCGATGATTTCTCACTTAACACTTTCAAGGCATGGCTACATAGCCACCCTTTTAATTCAAATAATTTGTAATCACAAGAAACTGAAGAGTCTACAGGGTCAAATTTGACAACATATTCACTCCCATTTAACTTCCCCTTTAACTTGAGAGTAAAAAATAAACCGACCAATCAAATGATTCACTTGAAATACGTTGAAAGATACTTTCCAAGAATTCATCATTGAACCATTTAAAAATGGTACGGGTATACACTAAAGTAGCATGCATCAAGATGTCATTATCCAAAATCGCCAATTTGGGATTCCCTCGACTACTGTGATCATCTTGAGTTTCAATTTCTCTCATGTGCTTCACTTGTTCTTCATAGTGGTGAACAAACTCTACAAGAGTCAATGTCTTCGTCGACATACGTTGGAAGACATTATTGGTGCTCTCACTCCTTTGGCTGGATCTTATACCACTTGTAAAAGTGTCGTGACCAAAAGCTGAATTCCATTTGTGTCTAATGTCATATAATCTACGAAGCTAAGTGTTATTTGCAGTACCCCACTCTTTTTCCATTTCCCTCCAAGTAGATTCAAATTCTTCCTCCGATGTACATCTATACATAAGCGCTAAAAAATATGTATCCTTAAAACCCGGCTTATGGTAAAGATGTGGTATGTTTTGGTTAGCATTTTTCCCGATGTGCCAAGTGCATAAACGGTGTTATGTATTCGGAAACACCGTCCTAATGGCTTTTTCCATGGCTTGGTCTTGATTAGTGAACATGGTTTTTGGAGCATTATTTCCCATAGACTTCAAAAAAGCCTCGAACAACCAAATAAATGATTATGCAGTCTCATCTATCCAACAAATATGCACAACCGAACATAACATTCTTCCAATGGTGATTAATCCCGACAAATGGTGCACATATCATATTATATTTGTTGGTACGATATGTGGTATCAAACACTAGCATATCACCAAAACAGTCGTAATCAAATTTCAATATGCTATCTCTCCAAAATAAATTTGTCATTCTACCATCTTGATCTACATGTACAGCGTATGAAAACATTGGATTTTGCATTTGCATAAAATGAAAATTATTTAGAACACTTATTCCATCGGCTCTTTTCTTCTGCAAATAATTTTGACAATCACGCAGGTTGAAACCCAAGTTTTTGCTTCCTCCTGCTTCATAACTTATATGCTGTAGTCCCCACAATGCCGGCTTTAATCATATCAACTAATATACCCTTACAAGTTTCAAAAATGATTCTTTTACATCTAATCAAATGCTTTTGATCATTCGGAATAAATGCATGATTATGCTAAAAAATATACTCAATGACTTCATAGACACTATTGTCAACCATAAATTTGATATAAGCAAGACAGCCACATCTAACTTCATACCTTTCATATTTCTTTTCTTGATCAGAAGAGCTAAGAGAATGCCCCTCATAATTGCACACAAAAGTCCATCGGGTTAATTCTCCTTTGCTATTTTTAAACATAGTACCCTTCCTCACCCCCAAACCCTTTACCAATTGCATAGGTCACATACTTGTGGTATGCTTTGAGTTCATTTGAAAAAATCATTCCTACAACAAACTCATAATCTTTTTCTATATCACGCATTACATGTGCAAGATGGGAAATTTCATGTTGCAACCAAAAGAAAAAAAAGTTATCAACGTAGTGCTTTTACATGCAAAATAACATTTCATCCGTTACTTAAGAAAGCAAAGGATATTTCACATAGTGCGCATGACAAAATTACCTCTGATTCAGCCATCCGATAAATTTGCACCCAAATTGAGACCAAATTGGGATTAAAATAACACCAAATCAGTCCCCACCAGCAAGCTTCAAAGATAATTCTAGCAGATTTAAGTTTAGTAATAACACTACTTAACGAGAAATAGATCTATATCAATTGTTACGGATGTCCATACTCATATTATCCTCACAAAACTTTAATGTGGAGTTCATTATCAGAAAAGATAGCCAAAACAGACAAAATTCGATACCTTTCGAGGCGGACTATGTCAGCTTTGATGGAGTTCAGCCAGTCTTCGTGTCAATCTCACTCTATAAACTGGAGAATAAGCATACACTAAACAATAGACATTAGCCAGGCATCGAGCATCAGCAATGTAGGCACTAAAAATTTAAATCACAATGTAGTTCACATGAAACTCGATTTCAATCTCAACTTAGTTTTAGCACCTCATGGGAGCATCACAGCACCGAAATACTGATATGATGAACTATACAGAGGAGCTTAAATGGAGATTGGAGTGCTGTTCTTCCTGATTTTTTTTCGCTTTGAAAGTTTTGTCTCAAGGTACTTTAGCTTTCATTAATGGTTGACTTTCAACATATCTGTGTCCATTGTGGGCTAATCTTGCCTTCTTTTTTTATGCTCTTCATAACTTTAGATCTAGATTAGATTACCGAAGTCATTTGTTAAGAAGAAAAAGATACGCACGAAAGTGCATGAACCATTCAAAAGTAATAGGACTTCCATCGAATTATATGAAGGTAGACATAGAGTTACATATGAGTACAGCAAGTCCGTTGCAAATGATAAGACATAGAGTTACGTTTGAGTACAACAAATTTAATGACTCATATCCGCATGATATTCTACCCATCTGAATTATTCTCCAAGGTCTTGAATGATAAGACATTTTGTAGTTTTTGAACTTCAAGGATTGAAATCCTGAAATATTAATAGGATGAACTCTCATACTGGCATAGGAATGTTGGCGCTTTATCTCAAAATGCCAGAGCAAATGAAAAGAAACGTTAGGACAGAAGTAGTTTAACCCAAAATCAGAGGAGCATGACATGATCGATCAAAATTGACGGAGTTATTTGATGCATTGAACAAATGGAAGTTGCACTCTAGGATACGAGAGGCAACTCCTATCTCAGCAGTGAGCTTGTCCTAATTGCTGAACTACTCTATGGATAAAGCAAACTCATATTGGATCTGTAATGGAGTTCATTCCAACATACATAATCAACAGCTGAGTCCATGTTGGGATAATGCTTGGATTGTTATTGTTACTGTTGTATGAGTGTTCTGTGCACCACCAGCAAAGAACGCACGCGCTGGAGAGAGAGAGAGAGAGAGAGAGAGAGAGAGAGAGAGAGAGAGAGAGAGAGAGAGAGAGAGAGAGACTCAATGGGACGTAAAGAAAGAGGATATGGCCCAAAAAATTACGTGTGTGAAACATCATCAGCTAACCTTGTATATATTGCCTTGAGATAGCATGACAACACGCCAGAAAGACATAGCAAGAGGATTGTATAGGAAAACAGTGATACGATTGGATCAGCCACTCATAGAGACACTCATGATTCATTTTTCAAGTTCCAAAAAAGCAGAGTACGATCTAAAACTGTGATCTTGCGACGACCAAACATAGGAGCCCAACACAAAATCAAAATGACGATAAACCATTGTTCTTCAACCATTTCTTTTGGTTTAAGCATTTCTTCGAATAGATAGTGAGCAAGCATACCCCCACGGAATATTTCAGATTGAACACGATTTATGTACCATAAAGAAAACAAAGCAAAGAGTTAATAACCTAACCTGTGTGGTCTTTTCGCATCCAGTCTCACCAGATATAAGAACTATCGGCTTTGTATAAAGAACAAGCAATAAGTCCAAGGATGAATTAAAGATTCTAGTCAAGCATATGTCCAGAAAAGTTCTTGAATGATAGCATTGGAAATCAGCATACTAAAAACAAATGCATATGTTCTATAAGAATAACCTATAAGATATTAAGCATATGGTAAAAAATAACCCGATGACAATCTACAGATGACGTGATGACATCCTTGAAGGATGCAATTGGAAGCTTAGACCTCTCTTCAGTAATATGCACTTGTAAAATCAGAAAAGTTTTGAGATAACCAGCAGCAAGCTAGGGAGCAAAAATTGAACTCACTCAAATCTGTTCCTCTCGAAGCTAGGGCGGAGCGGGGGCTTGGTACAGCTTCATCGGGCAGCAGTGACAACCGCAAGGTGTCGAGGCGGATGCAGAGGCGTCGACTACGGCTAGGGCAATGGCGTCGGCGTCGAGAGGTGCAGAGCTAGTCGAGGCGGAGGCAGAGGGCATCGGCATCGGCGTCGGCTAGGCCTAGGGCGGCGGCTAGGGTGTCAGGCTTCGTCGTAGACGTCAGCGTCAACTAGGGCTAAGGCCGTGGACCTTTGTCGCAGGCGTCGCGTCGAAGGGAGCGCGAGTTCTCAGAGTACAGAAGGCATCGGCATCGGAGGCGTCGCGTCTGGGAGGAGAGAGAGGTTGGGAGCGTGAACACGTAGAGTCGAGGCGTCCGCGTCGGCGTCGGCGGCATCAAAGTTGGAGGCGTCGGCGGCATCAAAGTTGGAGGCGTCGGCATCGGCGTCAGAGGCGGTGTCGGAGGAGTCGGAGGGAGCGCAAGTTCTGAGTAGATCTGGAAGGAGAGAGAGAGGTTGGGGGCGCGAGATTGCCGAGAGATGAGAGAGAGGCGCTTTATTATGAAAATTGGAGGTGTCTGACCGGGTGGGGCCCCTCGACACGTGTCGCACAGAGAGGCATTCATTTTTTGCCATTGTGGAATTCGAGGGCACCCAATATTTTCTCGATAGATAGGGCTTAGTGGGAATCAATTGAAAGCGAGAACCAAAGTAAGACGGACACTCATCACAACCTTGGGGAGGAGAAATAGAAGGGGAATGGGATCGTGGAGAGCAGATCCATATGCGCGTGGAGAAACACCCCATGAACAATACGAAATCAACTGCACAAAGAAAATCATAATGCACACAATTTCTTGGACTTCAAAGTGAATCGCTATGGTTTTTAGAAGTACTAAAGAACAAAAGACTAGCTAGTCCAAAGCCAAGCCAAGGCGCTTCAATTACACCTTGTACATTCAATATGTACGCACTATCCGGCATCTGCTAACATATCACCCTGGAAACATACATATATAAGAGACTTCATAAAGTAGCGTGCAAAGGCAACTCGAGTGTTGAATCGTCGATCACCGCAGGAGAAGTTTCAGATTCTTTCTCGCGACTTCGGCTGAACTGGCCGACCTCGGATGGCGAAAGGCGTGTGAGAGTTGAGTCTTTGATGGTATGCATCATCCCCACCTCTGCCATTTTCAGCCATCATCATCTCCGTATGTTGCTGTAAGTGAAACCCCCCAACAAAGAGGGAAAAAGAAAGGGAAGAGAATTTTATATGGTGTGATGCAGAAGGTAATGTATATGCCATACGGACATCTGCACCTTGAACAAGAAGCTAGGTTTAGCTTTATGGACGAGGGACCGATGTATCAAAGTTCTCTGTCCTCCCATAAAATCAATATAGACATGAAATGCTCAAAGAAATCATTTCGTAATATTATATGCAACTGCATGTAAATTTCAGTGATTAAGTACTTGTTACTATACTCCCCTCCGAAGGTTCCTGCAACTAGAAGATCAAGATCTTTGGTCCATGTTTAATTTGTACTCGGAGACACCTAAATTAAGATATTGAATTTCGAGTTTCTGTGACTAATATACACGTGAACCTAAAGTGTTTTCGACAAATAATACGGAAACCATATCTCTAAGTTTAACATCGATGCCCTCTATCGATCTGTCTATCTATTTTATAATTGGAAAAGATATCTAATATAGGGATAATTTTTCTGTCCTCTTCCACTCTTATTAGGAGGATTTTTTGAATCTATTACATTAATGGGGATAAATGTGTAACGTAAGGTTTGTTTTAGAAAGTCATGCATAACTTTCTCCTATTTTTAAGGAGATGTTTTACTCTATTTGCTGCCCTAAATATGTTTTCAGAATACCCTTAAAATTGTGAACAAATAAGGATAATATGCAACAAAAATGATCTACTTCTTATGATTTTCTCATAAAAAAAACTGTCAATTTCGTTTTCTCAAAGCTTTGATTTGTATACAATTTATTTTGGAAAAGTAGTTCCAAATAAAAAGCAATAACTTCATAGCCAATTCTATTATTAATATTGGACTAAAATGTAAAAAAAATAGTCATACACAATTGTGTATGTGTAGGGCTTCTAGTGATAAAGCAAGAATCAATTTTCTAATAGATATAAAAGTGAATCTTGTTTGATGGTTTTGCTCTATCCAGTTTTCTTATGCATTATCTTTCCTAGCTATGCAGCTAGCAATTTTCCACAATCTAGTTTCAAACAGAACCTAATACATAGCCTTTGTTGACTCGTAAATTTTCATTGATTTTGCAACTTGAACATTTAAAATGTCGATTTCTAGATAAATTAGTATAATTCAATAAAGTTCGCTCTGATATGTATACAAAGTGCCTCTTGAAAATATCTAAAAAATTTGTAGTTTCTGTTTCTCGAAATGGGTACGAAACTTTTTATTCCTTAGAACTCCGACTGGTATTCACGGTGTTGTCAACATTTACATAGTCTTTAGCATAAAAGAAATATCGTATAACAAATTGTTAAAGTATCCCACATCACTCGTCTACAAAATTTGATACTCTTTATATATTTGCCTTTCTTCATCTGTAGATTAGTTCCGTCTCTTTGTTATGTCTTTTAATCGATTACAAAAAAAAAGGGGATTGATTTTAGTTGGCATAAGATGAGGCAGAGGCAAAGAATTGGACCACTACATAAGAATGAGACAAAAATCATCACCAAACCCTATATACTCTTTTGGGGAACCATGAAATGAGGTTGAGACCATCTTGGCCAATTGATAACGATCTTACTTTCACCAAACTCGGCTCCATTCAAAACCCTAATCTATATCAAGCTAATTAGAGTTAGGTACTGGAATTATTAATTATTTATTGCACAATTACCCATTTTGTTTCTTTTTTTCTTTTTAAATTACCTGATGAATATGCACATGCATCATCAAGTTAAAGGTCGAAGAACTTACCCCAAAGAGATAGAGCTCCTTAATTACCTCCTCCTTCTGCTTCAGCTGAAAAGGTTAAATTCAATAAAAATAGAAAAATAAAAAAGAAGTTAGACAATATAGTTTCTTTTAGCTCCCAAATATGAGAGTAAATATAACAGGGTTTTGGTTTTGGGACAAACATTTCTCCTATGTTTCACGACAACCTCGTCCTGCAACACACACAAACGGAAAATTTAGTAAAAACTTTGGAAATAACAAATTCTTTTTATATATATCTTCTTGTGAAATATAATTAAACAATAATAGAAAAATAGTTTCTTTGAGACCTTGGAGAGACTTGCCTTTTGGTCTCGAACGCATCCGAGGCCGTTTTCGAGAACATCTTCTAAGACCATCAAGTCTTTATAATTCAGTGATGTTATGTCCTCTCCTTTTAGGTGCCTATTTGAAAATTAATTTAAGTGTATTATATGTAAATCAGTATTGTTTTACCAATTGAAATAAATAAATAGTAAGTCCAGAGAGAGATGAACCTGAGCTGCATCTGCAAGTTATCGTTTGCCTTCTTGATCCTATCAATCTCGTTACTCAGATTCTGAAAGATTTCACATTATTTCGGGAAAACCCTAACATTCTTTCATATAAGTTAAAGGAAAAAAGAAAAGTATGCAAGAGCTACATTTCCTAAAGACACTGAATAAATAATTTAGAGTGCTTCTCATTTTTGATGGCTTGTCATGAAAAGAAGATCAATCACAAGGTAGGAAAACCAACATGACTTTGCCAACAACAATAAAGATCATCTCAAAGAAATTACAGATAACGTAATAAATAAATAAATAGACTCTTGCATGCAACATAGGTATATTTGGTGCCAAATCAACAGTACTAGGTTTTATTTTTATTTTTTCCTTTTTTTCTTTGGAACTAAAATTATGAATAATCCGATTTAAAGGAAGAAAGAGAAGAAGCGGGTGAAATCCCAATCACAGATTTTTTTGCTTGGAGAATTGATGATATTAGCTAGGGTTGCAAAATATTAAAACCTAAAATCACAACAAATTGAAAAACCCACCTCATGCTTAGCGTCCCAAAGCCTCGTCCCACACTGTGTGTGATACTGGTCCAATATATCAACCAACCTTAACCCAAGGGAAAGAACAAACATTAACAAATTACAAACTGTCAAAGTATCTGTACTGCCCCAAAAGGCAGGGAAAAAGAGAGACAGAGATAGAGAAGATGCATACGAAGCTTTGGGGCTGCAGTATTCATGCATCTTCCCGGAGCAGCCAAAGATGATGACGGCGACATGAGCATCGCAGAGAACAGAGATCTCCTTGGCCTTCTTGATGATCCCACTTCTTCTCTTTGAGTATGTAACTTGCCTGTTGTTCGTGTTCTCTATCCTCTTTATCTCTATCTTCCCTCTCCCCATCTCTCTCTGAATGATTTTATTATCAGTCTTCTGCTTTCCTTGTGTGAACTTCTTTTGGGGCCTTCTCTCTCTCTCTCTCTCTCTCTGTGCTCAAATTGATTGCAAATGAAGCTGATAATGAGAGAGAGAGAGAGAGAGAGAGAGAGAGAGAGAGAGAGAGAGAGAGAGATGAAAAAGGTAGTTTGGTGTAGAAGTGAAGAGAGAACATCTTTCCATTTAAGGTTAAGGGTAAGTGCCACTTTCCTGTCACAGAAGAGGAGGTTGAAGGTTTCATGCTAACGCCTATAGTTTCATTTTGGTTCTCATCGCACTCGTGTGACCACCGGCCATTATCACACTTCCTGACATGTGGTGGTGTTTGACGCCATTCAAAACAATGTATTTTGGTGGGTGCGTTCATCACGCTCTAACTGCGGCTAGGTCATTGGTACTTTACAAGTTTTGAACTGATCAAAACCTTACCAAGACTTAGTTGTTGGTTTTAGGAAATTTCTTCTAACATTTCAAAACCTTTTACTCTTTGTTACGGCCAATCATTGTCACGCATTTGTAGAACATTGTAGGGAAAAGAATAATTTTACGACGTTTTGTTTTTTTATTACAAACAACTGTGGTAAGTTTTTAAAGTGTTGTAAGAAAAAAATTTCCGATCACGAATGGCCAAATAATCGATTAGTAGTAGTATGCCTGATATTGCCAGAAGACCTTCTGCCTCAAAGCCCAAGTTTTGATGTTTCGCTCTTGTTCACGTCTTACCATTGTATACTTTTATGAAGTGTTGTAAAAAAAATTATGAAATTTTATAACGTTCTGTTCTTTGTTCCAACACATTATTGTAAATAATTCTAAATCATCGTTAGAAAAACATTCCCTTTTACAACCTTTTGCTCTTCATCATGGCAAACCATCGTAAACCTTCGAAAAGTATCACAAAAAAATCTAAATGTATAATCTTTAACTCGTTCTTACGATGAATTATGATAAATGTTTATAATGGGTCATAAGAAAGAAATTCAATTTTACAACTTTTTGCTCCTAGTTAGGACTTAACCTTAGAAACCCTTTTTACGCCGCTTTGCCCTTCATTATAATCGGTCATAGTAAACATTTATAAGCATCGTAGGAGAAGAAAAAGCCAAGATTACAACATTTTGCTCTTGGTTAATATGTACTGAAGTAAGTAACGTAACGTAAGGAAAAAAATTGAAGTTTACGATAGATTTGCTTTTGTTATGACTTATCGTCGTGTACCTTCGTGAACTGTTGTAAATGAATAAAAGGGAAAATAGTCCAATCAATCCTAAATTTATTGTAATGATATTAATTTGGTCCCAAATTTTTCAATTGCGCCAATTAATCTTAAACTTTTGCGTGAAATTTTAATATAGTCTTTCCAACTAAATTTCACCGGATATCGCTGAAGTGGCGGTATATTACGTTGGATGGCCAGTGATGACTAAACCATCACGTTAGCAATTTTCTGACGAAAATTGATCAAAAAGACTACATTGTGATTTCGTGCAAATGTTTAAGACTAAAAAAAGTTTGACTAAATTGGCATTCATACAATAAATTTAAGAGTGATCGGATAATTTTTCTAAGAATAAAGTAAAATGTTACGACATTTTGCTGCTTGTGACAACGCATAGTTTAAAACTTGTTAATCATCGTAATAAAATTCGGGGAAAATTTCAAATAAGAGCTTGAAGTACCATCATTTTTTTCAAATAAAGGCTTGAAATGAACTTTATATCAAATAAGGATCAGTCTCAAATAAGGGACCGAAGTAGCTATGACCGTTTCAAATAAAGGCCTAACCTCGTCAGTCACCGACTGGCTAAATATTCCAGTAGGTAAAGGGCATTTTCGTCCAAATAAAATTGTAATTTTAATTTATTTTTTCATTTTTTCTTTCTTTTTTTTCTTTTTCTAGACCGGCCGCCGACAATGCCCGAAAACGGTTGGGCGAGGGCCACCCTTGTCTCCCACAAGTGAGGGACGGCCTCGCCTAGGGCGAGGCAGGTCTCGCCTCGACAAGGCAAGGCGACCCTCGCCTTGGGTGAGGCAGCCCTCAAAAGCTCATCTGAGGTCGACCTCACCCAACCCTTTTCATAGCGGCCACCATAAAAAGAACAAACTAGAATAATTAAAAAAAAAAGAAAGAAAAAGGAAAAAAGAAAAAGAAAGGAAATGGAAAAAATTTTAAAAATGTGTAAATGACGAAAATACCCTTGACCATTCAGAAAGTCATGCCATTTTTTAAAACTGATATTAACCACCTCATGCCTTTATTTGAACAATATCCACTCCTAACCATTATTTGGAAAAATGAATGCACTTCAAGCCCTTATTTGTTTGATAAAAAAAAATCCTTATTTGAAATAAAATCTAAATTTTTATTTGAGAAAATAATGATATTTTATTCCTTTAAACCAAAAAAAAATCATCATAATAAAAAATAATTCGATTTTACAACCTTTTGGCTTGTGGGTGTACGGTCCATCATCGTACCTTGGAAGTCCCCCGTGTATCTAGTAGTATCCCTCCGTCACTCTCGATCTCTCTGCATCTTCAGTCGCCGCCGCCGCTAGCTCCAACTAAGGTGGCACCACCGCCGAACCCTTCTCAGGTAATCGGATCTTTTTCAACTTCCGATCGTACGGGTTTACATTCTCGGTGAAATTGGATCTCACCCAACAAGTCGAAACCAGGCCTTCTGATCTGGGTCGCCGTTCTTGGGTATTGGGTAATCAAGAATTTGACTGTATTTCCAGGGACTCGACTTTGTGGTTTGAGTAGCGATTTGTGTCCTCTTTTGCATTCGATTCGTGGGCTAATGCTTGGATGGATGCACTGGGGACAAATCTGATCTTGGGTTGTTTTACTTCTTGCAGAATCTGATTCATTGTGGTTTTTGTTGAGATTTGAAATTGGACAGCTTCTCGAATAAATTAATGACTGTGAAAATATTTGCTGATTCTTAAAAAAAAACTTGTTTTACTTTGTTCTGGTTTCTTGGTTTAAAGATTGATTGTGTCAATTTAGCTGCAAATTTTCAGGTGATCTTGACTGTGTTTGCTGCTTCTATTCGTACCATTCAACTCTCTGCTGATGGGTTTCCGGTTTTTTTCTGTTTGTTGTTTTATTAAGTCCAATGGCCGGGTCAGGGAGTTCCATGGTATACTCCTTCCTTCTGTTTACCGTCGTTCTTTCCCTTCAAGAAATGTACAGAGGGAAGTTGGCATCATCGGAGCTGTTCACAATACTCGGAGGGTTCACTAGTTCTATCCTATTCCTTGTCCTGCTTACAGTGAGTCTAAATTTACTGTTTCAGCCATTATTGTAACATGTTATTGCTGCTGGGAATGTATGGATGGGTTAATAAATTATGTGCGGTCCCTCCATGACTGTTTTTGTGCGTAGTTTTTATCAAATCTCTCTTTTTCACACTGATGAAATGCTGCTCTTGCAGTTTATTGGCAACTTCCAGGAATCGTGTAGCGTGAGAACTGGTTGGGGTGCTGGTAAGTGGACAGTGGTTTTATTTCTCATTTGTTGTTTTCGCTTATTACTTTCATCAAGATATCTACTAGAGAATTGGCAGATTAGATATGGAGGAATGCACATGCTGTTGCATTTCATTACGTAGCATCCCTCTTGCCCTGTAAATGAACTTTGAATAGCATGAGTGTCTGAATTCACTTGGCCAATTCTGCCTATTAGCTGTTTAAGGGCACATGCTGACATTAATTTTTGGGCATCAGCATCAGGACACTTTACAATGCTGATATGTGTTGACAAACATGACATGGTTGGTGGCCATCGAAGTGATGTGGTATAGGAGTTTAAAACTTATCACACTGAACAGTTCTTCCCCATGTGTATTTCTATACTTAATAGGAGGATTTATGGGCCTCTTTTACACCCTAGTCACAATTTATTGTCCACTTGTGAACATTCGGTGATTGTTAGACTATTGAATTGTAAATTCTGTATGCAGTAAGTAATGCATCATTCTTACTAAAAGTAATGCTTGTTGACGTGCTCCATGTAATGTTGTTTTCTATGACTGAACATAAGTTCTGACTATCTCTACAGTTTGTGTGTTTTTCATGTTGTAATTTGCATGTGAGAATGATGCTTTCCTCATTGGTTGCTACTGTACTGAAGGCTCACCTGCTAGAAATTACGCCGATTTTCCACATAATGCATCATTACATAGTTCACATGGAAGTGGAACAAGTGTATTCATTCAAGTCTATTTTTCCTCTCTTCTATTTGCAGTTATATTGGCTGAAGCAGTTGCTCTCATTGCTGCCGGCACTGTTCACCGAGTTTGTATCACAACATGGTAATTTTATTATCATTGTGAAGATTGCACTCTTTTAATCAGAAGCTCTTATTCCCCAAGCTTCTCCCAAGAGGATGATTTTGGATTTCATGCTGGTTATGATGGATCATGCCTTTGATGGTCTTGTTTATTTTTAGGATAGAAACTTGTTCCTTCGTATACTTGTTAAAGTGCTTCTAGATCACTCTACCCCTTTGCAAAACATAATGTTGTTACACATGACCTAAATAATTAGTAAAGGCCAACATGAATCTAATTGTGTTAGCTCTAAAACATAAATGTTGCGCTTTTGCAATCTATGGTGAAAAAACCTTCAATGAGTAATGCTTAGTATTACAGTGTATTCTACTCTTCTATTTGTAATTTTTCAAATAAAAAACTACTGTCTCGAGTTTATCGTATTCAAATGTAGTGAATGGTTAGTAATGGTCTAGCCCTTATGAGATGCAAGTTGATTTAGGTTCAGCACTTTGATCTTTCCATACACATTTTACATAATAATTTTCCTGAAGAAGGATCAGTAAATGACCCCAAAAGAATGCTTCAAAGCATACATTGACCCGAATTTGGAACTGTAACACTCTATTGACAAGTGATCCCCATTATGGTTCAATGACCAGAGCATATGTACCTCTGTGCTTATTTGCTTTAAAACTTGGTTTATTCTCCAGAGAGTCAGTGTAGTTAAGTATTCCTCGTGCTGCCATCACCATCACTATCCATTGTACCACGTAACCTCTGTTCATTGAATTTGCAAAGTTTGCAAAGTTTATGTTCCATTCTGTCGCTTAGGTTTCCTCTAGTGTATCATGGCCAGCATGGCGTTTTATAATTAGTTAGACAAGCTATTGAGCCAAAAATGCAAGCAAGCATGCGGCCCCCCACCCACCCGGGGAGCTTTGGGTTTCTTGGCATTCTGCTGGGAAAAATGCCCTCTTGGAAACTGCAATTATAAGTAATTACAGTACCCTTTGTGCCAAGGAAAGCGGAAGCCACTGAGAAAATAGTTTGAATATGTATAGAATTATTTCTGCATTTGTGATACTAAAGTCTGAAAATTTTAACTGCATGCAGACTTTATAGCCCGGAAGAAGAGGGTGCTGACATGTTGTGCTTTCTTGCAGCTTCTTGTTCTCAGCTGCTTTGCTTTACGAAGTCAACAAGATTTCAGGATCGGCGCTTTCTAAGAGTGAATCTAAGACAAGGAGGCACTGAGCTGTTCCTCTTTTTAGGTTTTGTCAGAATACTGATGAATATTCCCTTAAAAGCATTAGATGTTGCAAACATGATAGATGAGAACTAGAATATTACCGTTTGGATTTTCTTTCTTTTACTTATCTTTTTATGGCGATAACCTGCGGTGGAGAGCACGATTCGTGTTTGTACCGAAGTCCTAGAGTCTCATTTGAGCTTCTATATGCGTATTTTTATCTTATATCTGTCTCCTCTTTGGTTATTTAATTTCAGTTACTATAATCGTTTGGTTCTTCCCTTAAATACTTACATGCTACAGCAGAACTTAATGTATCCAGAGAGAAATTATTCAAAGCTCTTAAAGCTTCCGAAGAAAATCTCTGCAATTCCACTGAGGATTACATTGATTGGGCTCCAATAAGTTGATGTGTATCAACCCTCTTTTCAGTGTGTAAACTGTAGAGAGTATGTGCTTTCAACATACTACCAACAAAAAATCGAAGGGTTAGCTCGTTAATCTGCAAATGCTAGTATTGAGTTCCCCTAAAATTGAATATACTTAAGTAGAGTGGAGCTAAAGAGACTCCTGTATTGTAATACTTTCGAAGTTGAGGATTGCCGTATTTGAATGGACTAGGCAACTGGATGCAAAGCGTTTGAACTAGGGAGATGGTAGTTAATGGATTGGAGAGTAACTGTACAAAGTGGCATTGTGCACACTGCTTGTTTTGAGAAGGTGAGTTACTCTTTCTACATCTTTAACTCGAGTGCCAAGGCTTATGTGGCGACCACCTTAGGCAACGGTCTATTCGGCAGGAAAGCTCTTTGGCATTTTCTTTTCTGCATCGACATAGAGTCCAAGAAAAATGGTCCCTATTCTGTAGGTGAATTCTTTTGGAGGATATAGTTAGTATCAATATAATTTTGCATTACCTTGGAACTGATCTTGCACTTGTAGACATGGTTTTTACATGTTTGGAACCTGAAACCTATACCGTAATCTTCTCAACCTTTTCGAAATTCGTGACTGGTCAATCTCACAGGCTCGAGCTTATATTTTCTTTCTCCTTGGTCGAAGTAACAACTTACACACACTTTGCTGAGCCAAAGCAACAAGGAGTAATTCGTTCCCTTCCAGAAATGGATACTAATAAAGATTGAATAATAATACAGTTTCCAAGCTTAGGAGCCGAGTGTGCGCTAGGGCTTTTTTTTGTATTATGAATTCGATCGCAAGAACTAGAAATTACAAATATGGTACGCGTATTAGACGAAACCTTTAATAAAATTTTTAAAAGTAGCAAAATTCAAGTCGCGTCTAATGCCGCCAAAACTAGAAATTGCATTAGTTTAACTAAACCTTGTCATTTGATTTCAATTATTATGCACAAGATCTTATAATTCAACCAGACTCCATAGTCTATACGGGAACTCATCCGCCATTTAGTTCAGATATTTGAAGTTAGCTTCTTGAACATTATTCAACATGGCAAATAATACCACATGAAGAAATGTCTAGGGTGGACGGTGGACAGGCCTTGATATGGCAATGTCACACCACAGAATCTACAAAATCTGGCTTAGAGAAGGGAAACAGCATGGAATTCACTAGCACAGCAAACAAAGCGCGCTAAAACGAAAAGCACAAACCTTTAGCGGAGAATCGAGAATATCTCTCAAATAGCATAAGTTATGCACAGAGACGCAGCATCAGCGTTCACTAGCAGGATTTGAGGCAAAAATGAAATGAACAGAAATGACCAGTCTCTGTCGAAAAAATCATGCCATAAAATGAGAACGAGCTCGAGTCCTTCAAAACAGGAACAAAAGCCACGCAGAAAAGGAACAGGTGAGAAAGAAGTGAAGTCCTAGAACATAGGGGAAATCATCAGATCTGAATAATCTTAATCAATAAAAAGAGAATGAGAGGGCTCTGTCGAGGTTTTCAGGTTGCCTTCTTTCTTCCCTCTCTGCATTCATTGGCAAGCAAGCTCCGAACCACCAATTCTCACCGGTTGGTATAGCTGCAACAGGCAGGAAGCAAAATGTAGTTCAGAACGCACTACAAGAAAGGAACCATCGCCAAATTTTGGACTATTACAACATGCTTTATTGAAGATGATAAGTTGCTGATCATAAGTGAAACAGAAAAGAATGTTCAGAAGGAGCACCAGCGCACTTGCTTATCTAATGTACAAGAAGGGACAAGTAAAACACTCTCAAAAGTAGGGGAGACTGAGAATATAGCATGATAAAAGTACACCAAACAAGAACTAAAATGTCTATCAGAAATCCGACCAGAACATTCTCAGGACTTGCATACAGTGACCACATCATACAATAAAGCAAAGGTCGACTTATAGTGAGAACGAATAAATGGCGAGAAAAAACTTTTACAGGTTCGTCCATCCTAGCTTTAGAGATAAGTGAAATTTGCTCATAACGTGTCTACCTTCTCCAAAGCATATTACTAGTGAAAAAACAGAAGGATGACACACCTCGTTAGGTCGTTCCCCTTAAGTATAGATAAAGAGCTATCCAGCCCATTTACTTCTTGATCCCATTATCATGATGATGATGATGTTTGCTTCTCTTGTTGTCTTTTCTCTTAGTCCTGTGGCTTTTGTGCTTCCTCTTGCCCTTGTATCCATACTTAGCAACTGCAGCATCGGCTCTCTCCACTCCCTGTCGATATCACAACATTGGTAACTTAATTTACATAAGAAATTCAAAAGCAACAACGTGATTCATTAGACATACCAATAAACCATGAAATGCACGCACAACATTCTCATAGCAAAGGCTTCGAAAGGGAAAAGGTATAGAGAAAACATAAAAGGCATCTTACAGGAAATAGGCATAAAGACGGTGCTTGTCTAATCTCAAAAGCTTCCCAGAGAACTTTCAAGTCAAACACATGGATTTGTGAGCCTCCTTTCTTTACATGAGGCGGGGTTAGAGATAGCTGATCCGAATTTAGCCTTTCTCCTTTCCTAATTTCTCTATCTCCCACCACACTTTTGAGATAATTTGTATCTGAAACTGACATAGGAAGTGCTTTCTTGCAAAAGAAATCATGGTAAGGTTGAAGCCTGAACCTGCTTATAAGATCAGCAGCACCACAAAGCTCCCTAGGACCTGAAATTGAAACATAATGTTTAAAAAGAAAGAAAACATCCCATTATACCCACCTTATAGCAATGCCTAAGAAATGAAAAGAATGAAACGTAAAAGAATGTTGAAAAATAATAATTGAATGATATGATACATTAAACAAAGGAGGAGAGCAACCAACATCAGGGATATGCCTAGAGATTTTTCTTAAAGGGGGCAAACTCGGTATTAACTTAGAGTAATCAAGTTGATCGATTCCAATGATTTACATTGATAGCATTCTTAGGCTACAAAAAAATTAGGTAAATAACATACTAAGTAGATTTATTGGGTGAGTAGCAACTGAATGTTCATAATTGCGTAACTATCTATTAACCTTTCCAAGTAAATCAATGATTTCATCATATATATTTCCAAAGATCAGCAACCAGTCCACTGTCCTGCCCACCCACATTCCCTAGTCCCAAACTTCCCAACATAGAGAGAAAAAACACAGAAAAAGTCCACAATCAAAGCACAATCAACCACAGTTTAGAACAAACTAGATAAATTGGTACGATCCTACTTTTGGAAATAAGATATTAATTTTATTTACATGTTGCTGATCATACACAGCATTCATGAACGTCGAGATATAACCTTCTGCATCCCTGTTTAATCCTGTGACTTTGACCTTGCCTGTTTCACATATATAAAGTGAAAACAAAAAAGCAAACGATGCTGCAGCATGACTCTTGAGGGAAAGTATCAAGTACCCATTAATGCACACAAAGAAAAACATGCAGTATCACCCAGCAGTTTCCTTCTCCAAATATAATCCAAAGTGCAATGAGGGGGAGCGACAGCATCTTTAATCAGTGAAATAACATTGTTCCCTAAGGAAAGAGCAAACTTTGAAAATGCTGACACTCATCTGCTAGTTCAAGATTTACACTATGTTTGGAAGCACCCTAGGAGAAGAAAATGGAAAGAAAACACCCACAGTTTTAGGATTTTCCCTTCTCATTCTAACAAAAAAAAATTTATTCTTCAAAGTTTTCCACTCAAATTTTCATTGCTCCCATTTTCCTGCATTCCTCAAACATAGCATTAAGGAATGCTGGAGAATGTTCAGTGAACAGCTCTTGATTGTAATCCTTTTTATCTGAACCTTCTCTCTTTTACACACAAACTTTCCTGACGACATCAGTCATCACAAACCAAATTGATGAGGCAAAAATTATAAGAATTTTCTCAAAGGTGAAATTTTCATGAAAACAAAAATCAAGACTGGAACATAAAATAGATTCAATTGTCTTCAAACTAACATACGGTAAGTACAAAAGGCCGGTTGTATCACAAGTAAAGGAGGGAGGACTCCCACAAGGGCCTTTTACTATAACTAGATAAAGGGCACTGAACACTTTGTGATGACCCCTTAAGATAAACCAAATTGACCATGCTATCAATTGGCAAATTGTTGTACAAAATATAGATCTCAAATATCTTCAGTTTTCTGAACAAAAAACCTCTTAGCAACGGATTTTCCATGTTTGAGGCATACCTTTCATAGAATTACCCCAACCGATCAATTCCTGTCCAGAAGGGGCATATATCCTCAAATTGTTATTTCACTGCGTTTAAACTTCACGCAAAAATCTTTAAAACGTGAAGCTCCAATAAACAGTGAATGTGGAAGAAAAATGAGCAAATGACGGAAGCTAGGAATACTAGCTTCTTGCTCATAAAATATGCCCTACATCAAGAGTACTGATAGGATCAGAACAGGGAAAAAGCAAACAAATAAACACACTTCAGTGCTTCTTCTTCTTTTTAACTTCCCCACGTTCATATCATTCCTCACAAATCCGGAATTTGCTTTTCTTGGCATATTGTAATAGCAATGCCTATGCTATGTAATTTGATGTAAAACCCAGAGGAAAAGAAAACACACCCCAATAGAAAGACATCAGGATGAAATGATTTCTCATAAAGAGGCACTAGTAACCAACATCATTATAAACATAAGCTGAGAAAAGTAGCAATCTCCCATTGTAGGAATTAGAAAATCAAATAAACCCTAGATAAATGTAACTCACCCCTTCCAAACCTTCTATCCAACTCGTGATCCATCATTTCATCAATGTAGGGACTACTGACCAGCAGTCTCTGCAATGAGAAAGTCCAAAAATTCCATTGGAAAGAGAGAAGACGATAAAGAGTTCTTGCCAATGATAATATAGAGATTCCAGATACTTAATCTCGACAACCAAATTTTACCATCATCATGATAAAAACTGTCAAATTACTTATCGTCAAGATAGAGCCAATAAGAATCTTAGACAGCCTGCTAACCCATCTACTAACTTTGTGCTCACTATTTGTGGATGAGAAACATACAATGGCGAACTCAGTCACAATCTCCTTAAATACAATCTGAAAGAGAGCACCAAACAACGGCGGATGGTTCTAGGAGTCACGATAATATATGCTGAGTAATGCCACTCGCTCGTTCCCACAAAATTGGACCGCTAAAACAAGCCGGCCACTCACAGGAAGATCAACCGGTAGCTTTGGCGACTTCAGTGGCAAAGCTCATATGTGGCCATGTCGGCATGCATCTCGGCTCACTAAGTCAAAACAGGAAGCATTTTCCATCCCGATAAGGAAGGAGGCATATGGTCATTGAGGATGATGGTATAATTAACCGCTAAAGTTTCCACGACACGGTCGCCCCGGATGGAAACGCCACCATCCGATGGCGATACTTAAACCAAACTCCTCACAATCAATTCTCTGGACTCCCAACAAATACCCATCATGAACAGGCAGATTCTTGGGAACCCATCTCCTCCATTCAAGATTTGGACCAAATGGTACTTGCTTGCTTCAAAGTAATTTACTCAAACACCAAACAAATGCAAATTTGATACAGAGACACCCAATTAAAAACTCCAGATACCGAGCAAAACACAACATCAAAACATCATTCCGAAATCAACTCCATACATCATCAAGAATCACCCAAGAAAAAAGAACAAGAAAGTTACGAACTTTTTTGCCCGACTTCAAGAAGAGAGAGCTGGGTCTCGCTTCCACGCCATCAGCAATGGCACATTGCACTGAGAAAGGGAGGAAGGGAGGATTGCTTTAGAGTTATGCAAGGGATTAGGGTTTCGGAGGAGGAGCTCCGAAGGGGTTTCTCTGATTCCGATACTACGCGAGCAAACAAGAAGAGGTTCGACCTTGAACCTAAATGCATTTGCTATATAGACTGGTTTTACCGAATGTAGACCTGTCTAACGGTGGGCGGGTTTGGGGGCGGGTTTGGGTCGGGTTTGGGTCAAAAAGGGTTCAACACAAATTGATTCATTTTCATGCAATACAAATTTAGTGATTCGTATCCAACTCGATTCGACTCATATTACTAAAATACTTCAATGTTATTATACTCATACCTCAAATTAAGGTGAGAGCACGGAGTAGGCGAGCATGAGGTTGACTGAAGGCGAGAAAGATTGAAGAGAGAATCATAATTATGGGTTAAATCTAAGTAAGTTGTGAACCCATTTGATACTCATATTATTTTGAGATTTACCGTTCTAAACTAATTTATAACTCATTTATAAAATATAACTAATTTATATAATAACTCAGCATAATAAATATGAATTAAGAAATGGTTAAGTTCTAACGGACAGTTTGAAAAGTGTCATTTTGACGACATAATTTCTTCGATCAATTAAGCCACATAATTTTAAAAACATTTATTTGAGAGTCGGCCATTTCTTTATGAAAAAATCTGAATTGGTATTAATTTAATATCATCCGATGTGACTTATCGAGAAAATGAAGCATCAAATATGAAACCTAATCTCATGCCAAAATCAGTTGAAATGCATGAACATCTCGATTTAACATGAGTTATTTATTGAGTGAATAAACCTAATTGTTTGCTCGACAGTCTTCCGATTCAAGGTCAAGCGACCTCCAATAAAAAGTCGCGACAACTTAAATTCGAGTCGCAACTTTTAATTTGAGATTCCGCCCAGACGAAGATGTCGATACGTGTTATGACTAACAACCTAACGAGAACCGATATCCACCTCAACCAATATCGCCCATTTTAGTTTTATGGCGCAGGGAACACATCGGTCCACATTTTGAAAGTTCAGGTGCTTAATTGAACAAGAAAGTTCCTACACGAGACTCCACATTTGGCAAAATTAAAATACTAGCGATATTAAGTATACACCCAAAAAAAAAAGAAGAAAAAAAAAATACTCCGAGGCTTTGAAAAATATATGTCATCAACTTCTAGGAGAAGAAATCGGGAAAAGCAACAATATTTGATAAGCAAATGCCGGACTCCGCAAGTCGAGTAGTACAACTACTTCTGAAAACTATTACTGCAGATCGACATCGGAGGTGGCCCAAACCTAGGCTGTTATGCTTCCTATTGAGTTGACTTGAAGTTCGTTTACCCAGTAAGAGAAAGACAATTAAAAAGAATGGGAATTAAATGAACTTTTTTAGATTCGATTATTTAAAATTGCATCAAGTCCTTCCATATTATTGAACAATGGAATGCATAGGGTCCGCTGAGAATTAGGTAACGAGATTAATGTTCAACCAATGATTTAGAAAATATTTTTCTAAAATTAATTATTTATATTACCTATAAAACTGAATGAAAGGAAAATATTTTTATCGTCTCTGAAAATGTTCAGGTGATAATTACACACAAGAACCCCAAAGCTAGAAACCATTTTCTTTCCTTTCTCTCCTCTTCTTCTTCCACTCTATGTAGATCTCTTCATGCCCCGCAGAATGGCGATTGGTACATATGATATCCCAGTTGTCATGGATTTTCTTAACCCTTCAAGCACCATCGCCTCTCTAGATCGAGACGACGAGAAGTTTGTATGAGGTCGACCGCCGCCTTCGACCTCAGGTCTACATATAGACTGAGGAGTCGAGGCCGTGAAGAAGAAGAAGAAGGTGGAGGATTTGTGGCCATGATGGTAGTGTAACGGGTAATAGGGAAGCAATGACCATGACTACGGCGACTATGGGGATGACAATGGTGGGTGCAGTGGTGGTGTCGACACCAGTTACGAAAGGGGAGAGAGGGGAGAGAGATTGGTTTGGGGTTTTTTGGTAGGTACAGTTTTTTTGTATGTGGTGTACACCTCGGTGATTGAATACCTCACCACCTTCGTGATCCTAACTTGATGATAATTTTATATTATGTCGGAACACGATCGAACATCAAGGCTACGTTTGGTGTATAGGATAAAAGTCAAGAATTTAATCATATTTGGTGTTTGGTTGCTGTGCAAGACAGGATAAAAAAAAAAATTGGCCAATTTAGTGATAAACTTTTTGACAATTTGCCAATTAATTGAGTCATTTCAGCCAATTTTGGCCGGAAATCGCTGACGTGAACGTCGGTCGTCGTACCATGCGAGGGCCCTCGCCATCCGTGAAGGGCTCGCCTAGGGCCATCGCGGTCTCACTGGCTGCAAGTGTGGGCAAGGGCCTTCGCAGCCCTACTAGCTAGGGCCTGGGTGAGGGCCACAACCCTTGCCGGCCAAAATGAAAGAGAAAAAGGAGAAAAATAATAAAAATTTTAATTTTTTAAAAAATTGCAAAAATTGTTTATGACAGCGCTGGCTGTGCCATATAAGATACTAAGCATCCACGTCAGTAATTTCTAGCCAAAATTAGTCGAAAGGACTCAATTGGCAAATGGTTTAAAGGTCTAGGACTAAATTGGTCAAATTAAAAGGTTTATGACTAAATTGGCACAAATGCAATAGGTTTATGACTTTTTTGCTAATTTTCTCGAATTTCTCATGTTTATGGTACACGTGGGCCAATGCGCAATAACCACCATCTCAACAGTCGATCCTCGTCGCCTTTTACCACGAGCAGTTGTTATTGCCTCTAACCACCACCGATCGTCATCGCTGGCCAACCAATCGTGTTCCCATCAAAGATTCCTGATCGACATCTCCACCTCCACCTTCACCCAAATCTAGTTTGATGATGGAGCTTTCATTCATCGACCATTTTCATTCAAAACTTGCATGTCCTCTCAGATACATATACACTTCACCTACGATGAAAAGTTTCTGCCTTTTCCGCAATCTCTCATCCAATCATGTGTTGTCATCATGGAAATTGAAGAAATTGAGCGACGCATTCCATCTCTTGCTTCGATTCATCAATAGAAATATGACGTGTTCGTGAGACAATGGCACGGCAAGTTGAGGTGATATCAACGGCGGCTTGGCAGGCAGGGCGGCAACCAACTTGGTTTGATGACACCGACGTAAAGGTGGAGGGGGGAGCAAAAAATGTTGTGTTATATTCGTGTTATCGTTGACCATTTACCAAATACCGTATAAAATATTATAAATTTTATAATTATTTTATATTCTATCCAATCTTATCTTATCTGTCAAAAAAATCTAGACGACCCAATACAACTTTAAGGGTTCGGAGAAATGTGGACAAGGTGGAGGGTTCAAATTTTCAAATTTGACTGTGCATTCAATTTCCACATCACCACCAACTCTTGAGTTTGTTGGCACGTTTAAGTTGGCTACAGAAGTTTCTAAATGCTTGAATTTTACTAATTTTACTGTTATAAAGCGATGGACCTAAGCAATGGATTTGATACACACCACCAACCACGTATGGCCGAAACAACCCCCTCCATTATTGTACTCTCTCAAACTATATAAACACCTGCCTAAGATTGTGAAAACTTTGATGTTCGAACCACATAATGTTGAGATAAAATATTTATAGTATTTAGACCACGTGAAAATTCACATCATAAACGAATAAATTTGAAAAAAAAAATGGACACGGCATTGTTGAAAATCCGAAAAATGGTGGGTTTCAACTTATTTCATCGAAAACCAACAGACTTGGAAAACCTACCCTCGATTATATGTCTCGGCAGCCCCATGCCTTCCATAATTCTCGAACCCAATCCACCTTAATATTTTCGGTCGGTCTCCACGCAATGAACTGTTTGTATAAATGGTTCGGTCGGTTGCTTTAGACCCAATGGGCAGGGATAATCATTCCAGTCAAAAGTAGTCGATCTTAACTCTATTGGTGTACGGGTGGCTTTTTTTTTTTTTCCTATTTCCAATTACTCCTTTTATTTTAGCACTTACGATTCGAGTTTATTAATACCAAACCATTCAAATCTCGACATTCAGGTATAAAATCATCTGCAAGTTGTTGATGATTTCCGAAAACCTTAAGAGAAAAACGAGAATAATTTCATACGAGACTCATAGTCCAATCAAGCACAATTCTCAAAATGTAGGACAATAAAATTTTGAAGTAGGAGATATTAAAGTCCTTCTGTGATCGAATATGGTCGGAAAACTGGTAGATGAAATGGTAATGTGCATGGAAGCGGATGGAAGTGGACGTCCAAGCAACACTCTCCGAATACTCACCTAAACTTACATCAAATTCTTGGGCCTCAACAACAAGACCTTGCGTATGAACATTCTTGATTTCCCGCCCTTCTCCAATGAAATCGAAATACTTAAAAGCCACCCATCCCAAACAAAAAAAAAAGTTAAGAAATACTTCAAAGGCCAGTCTCATCAAAGTAGAGGCTTTTGAAAAAATAAATAAATAAATAAGGTTAATACCACGAAAAACTCCAAATAAGTAGACCTGTGATAAATTTATCTCAAACTAATTTTTTGACTGCCAAAAACCCCAAATTGGTACACATGTGACAAATTTACCTCAAATTAATTTTTGACCACCAAAAACCCGAACTGGTACATTTGTGACAAATTTACCCTCTATTAGTTTCCGTTAAATTGGATTAATATCACGAAAAATCACAAACTGGTAAACTTGTAACAAACGAAGGGTGAAACTCCAAATTGGTACACCCGTTAACTGTCACATGTTATTTAACTCAGCAATTTGACGGTAATATTTAATGAAAACTAACATAAGGTAAAATTGTCACAGATGTACCGATTTGAGGTTTTCGATTATCAAAAAATTAGTTCTGGGTAAATTTATCATAGGGATACCAGTTTAGAATTTTTGTGGTATTAGCCCAATAAATAAATAAAAGTAAAGGCAACAAAAAAGAAAAAAGAAATAAAAAGTGCTAAAAATCTTATATTTCTTTCTAAACCAATCAAGCCATTAGTGATGGGCCCATACACCAGAAACCTAATAGGTTAACGCCCACATCCAATCAATGCTCCCTTCCAACTGATCCGACCAATCAGATTCTTCCACGCGTAAGATGCAACATGGCATAGAAGAATATGCACTATGGCATTGCTTATTATGTCGTGCAAGTGTCACGAAACGTGATTCTCTCGTACTTCTATACTCTTATGAGTGAAGCTTAGGGTTATCGAGTGAAGAATGAGTGTTGCAGAAGGAATGGATACAACTAGATCGTGAGAGTGGTGTGAGGACGGTTGGTGCTAAGAGTTCTAAGATAGAACAAATATACCCTTAGGAGCTCTGAAGGCGGGCTTGGCCTCTCGTGCACAAACTGATCGGGAGTTGATGCTACTCTTTTGATGAAATCATGGCAAGCCGAAACCAGTTGTGGTATCTAAAGTATTATGTGTGTATCGCTCGATGGACTAGACGTCCGAGCTTAGCTGGACGTGGTATGATCTGATACAAGGAAGCTATTCATCTTATTGTTCTTTGGAACAACTACAAAACTAGAGCTGGCCTGATGTGAACGATCCACTAGGCGCTGCACGGGCTATTTCGGGGTCAAGGAACTTTCAGCCCATGACAGATGGTATCAGAGTAGGATCCCTCTTGTAAGTGAGTTGAGTCGGATAAAATCTGTGGTCTATCTGGTCCTACAAGGGCGGAGAGTGAATCACCGGGGCAAAAAATTTCTCGAACAAAGTGCGGCTCTTGACTAACTTCTAGGTTGACAATGGGGGCGCATCAAAGAACCGATTCCTCATTTAATAGAGAAAACGTTCTTGGATCAATTTGACTAATCTCCAGATGGGTCTACTGCCACGTTATCAACAAGGAGAAAAATCTTCATTGGTCCGCTAAATCATGAGAATCTAGAAGTAGATGAAGAATGGTGCTTCCAAAAGGTGTAGTTAGCGAATATCACACTTGTGAGGGAAAGCACAAGTGACCGAAGGTGCCAAATGGCTCTGACTGAGAAAACCACCAGTGGAGAGAAGTTGTTTTGTTGGGCGAGTGTCCACCACTCAAGTAAGTCCCGAAAAAGCGGCGTTGATGGTCAAGAAGCGATGCAGGGAAGCGACTGAACAACCCTGAACGAGGGTGTCATGGAATTGAGTGAGAGAGAATGTCACAGACCGTGATTCGAGTGAAGAGTGAGTGTTGCAGAAAAGATAAATTCAACTGGATTGTGGAAATGGTGTCAGGACGGTTAGTGCTAGGAGTTCTAGCATTGAACGAATATACCCTTAAGAGCTCTAAAGGCGGGGTTGGCCTCTTGTGCGCAAACTGGTTGGGAGCTGATGCCGCTCTCCTGATGAGGCCATGGTAAGTCGAAACTAGTTGTGGTACCTAAAGTATTCTGCGTGTATTGTTCAATGGACTAGACGCCCGAGCTTAGCTGGACGTGGTACAATCCGATACGAGGAAACTATTGGCCGTATTGTTCTTTGGAACAACTACATAACGAGGGCTGGCCTAGTGTGAGCAATCTGCCGGGCGCTGCACAAGCTATTCCGCAATCAAGAAACTATCAGCCTGTGACACAAGCATTTTTGTGATTGCAATACTGGTACTTCTACGTGTGTCCGTAATTTTAATTAAAAAAAAATTCCCAAGCATTTGCTGAATTTCTGGAGAAGTACTTATTTTATATAAATAAAATGAGCTATACACATGTAAACTACAAGGCGTACATGCTTGGGTAAAAATACTTTAGTTTTGGACTTATCTCATTTTTTATCACTAATTACTGATTTAACTTGTTAATTTTCTTTTATGTTTAAAATAATTTTATAATGTCATCAATAAATACAACATTGTTTTGATTTCCCATCAGATAGAAATAGGGCGGTGACGGAAATTCGTACAATATCTTTATGCCATCTATTGATTTAAATGTTCCCATCGTAACATAACAAACATTTTTTTTATTTATGATAAGGAAGGAGGCAAGTGGTCATGCGAGGATGATGGTATAATTAACCCCTAAAGTTTCCACGACACGATCGACAACGGGTCGGCCCGGATGGAAACGCCACCATCCGATGGCGATACTTAAACCAAACTCCTCACAATCAATTCTTTGCACTCCCAACAAATACCCATCATGAACAGGCAGATTCTTGGGAACCCATCTCCTCCATTCAGGATTTGGACCAAATAGCACTTGCTTGCTTCAAAGTAATTTACTCAAACACCAAACAGATGCAAATTTCAGACAGACACACCCAATTAAACAACCCAGATATCGAGCAAAACACAACATCAAATCGTCATTCCGAAATCAACTCGATACATCATCAAGCATCACCCAAAGAAAAAAGAACAAGAAAGTTACGAACTGTTTTGCCTAACTTCAAGAAGAGAGAGCTGGGTCTCGCTTCCACGCCATCAGCAATGGCACATTGCACTGAGAAAGGGAGGAAGGGAGGATTACTTTAGAGTTATGCAAGGGATTAGGGTTCCGGACGAGGAGCTCCGAAGGGGTGCTGCTGATTCCGATACTACGCGAGCAAACAAGAAGAGGTTCGACGTTGAACCTAAATGCATTTGCTATATAGACTCTGGTTTACCGGCGGTAGACCTGTCCAACGGTGGGCGGGTCGGGTTTGAGTCGGGTAGAAAATGATTCGGTCTAAATTGATTCATTTTCATGCAATATGAATTTAGTGGGATTTATACCCGACTCGACCCGATTCATATTGCTAAAATATTTATATATTAATTAAGATGTCGGCCATTTCTTTACGAAAAAATCCGAATTGGTATTAATATAATGTCATCCGACGTGACTTATCGAGGAAATGAAGCCATCCAAAATGAAACCCTAATCCCATGTCGAAATCAATTGAAATGCATGAACATCTCGATTTAACATGAGTTATTTCTTGAGTGAGTAAACCTAACTATTCATTCGACGGTCTTTCAATTTTGGTTTCGAGGTCGAGCCTCCCGTTCAAGGTCAAGCAACCTCCAATAAAATGTCGTGACAGTTTAAATTTGAGTTCCAACTTTTAATTTGAGATTCCGCCCCAAGAGAGAGATGTCGACACGTGTTGTGACCGACAACTTAACGAGCACCGATATCCGTGTCAACCGATATCGCCCAATTTTGTGGCATGGGGAACACATTGTCTACAATTTGAAAGTTCGGGTGCTTAATTGAACGAGAAAGCTCCTATATGAGATTCCTCATTGTGCAAAATTAAAATACGAGCGATATTATACACCCGAAAAAAAGAAGAAGAAGAAGACAAAAAATACTTCAAGTCTTTGAAAAATAAAAGTCATCAACTTCTAGGAGAAGAAATCGGGAAAAGCAACAAAATTTGATAAGCAAATGCCGTACTCCGCAAGTCGAGTGGTACAAGTCCTTCCGTATAATTAAATAATGGAATGCATAGGGTCCGCTAGGAATTAGGTAACGAGATTAATGTTTTGTTTGTTTTTACTAAAGATGATTAATTTAGAAAATATTTTTTTTAAAATTAATCGCTCATATTACCTATAAAAATGAATGAAGAGAAAATATTTTTATCTTAAAATGTTTAGGCGACAATTACGCACAAGAACCCCAAAGCTAGAAGCCGTTTTCTTTCCTTTCTCTCTTCTTCTTCTTCCACTCTATGTAGATCTCTTCGTGCCCAGCAGAATGGTGATTGGTGCATATGATATCCCAGTTGTCATGGATTTTCTTAACCCTTCAAGCGCCATCGCCTCTCTAGATTGGGAAGACGAGAAGTTTGTATGAGGTCAACCGCCACCTTCGACCTCAGGTCTACATATAGACTGAGGAGTCGAGGTCGTGGAGAAGAAGAAGAAGAAGAAGAAGGTGGAGGATTTGTGGCCATGATGGTAGTGTAACGGGTAATAGGGAAGCAATGACCATGACTACGGCGACGATGTGGACGACAATGGTGGGTGCGACGGTGGTGTCGACACCGGTTACGAAAGGGGAGAGAGATTGGTTTGGGGTTTTTTGGTAGGTACAGTTTTTTTGTATTTGGTGTACACCTCGGTAATTGAATACCTCACCACCTTCATGATCCTAACTTGATAATTTTATATTAAGTCAGAACACGGTCAAACATTAAGTCTATGTTTGGTGCATAGGATAAAAGTCGCGAATTTAATCATATGTGGTCACAGGATAAAAAAAAAATTGGCCAATTTAGTGCTAAAACCGTTTGACAATTTGCCAAGTGAGTTATTTCGGCCAATTTTGGCCGGAAATCGCTGACGTGGACGTTGGTCGTCCTACATGGTACGACTAACGCTGACATGGACAATATTCGTAAATTTTTTGAACTTTTTTTTATATTTTTCTGAATTTTTTCTTTTCATTTTCTTTCCATTGTAGCCAGCGGGCGAGGGCCCTCACCATCCGCGAAGGCCTCGCCTAGGGCCATCGCAGTCTCGCTGGCTGCAAGCATGGGCAAGGGCCTTCGCAATCCTACTAGCTAGGGCCTGGGCGAGGGCCACAACCCTTGCCGACTAAAATGAAAGAGAAAAAAGAAAACAATAATAAAAAATTCAATTTTTAAAAAAATTGCAAAAATTGTCTATGATAGCGCTGGCTGTGCCATATAGGACACTCAGCATCTACGTCAGTGATTTCCGGCCAAAATTAGCCAAAAAGACTCAATTGGCAAATTGTTTAAAGTTTTATGACTGAATTGGCACAAATACAATAGGTTGAAGACTTTTTTGCTAATTTTCCCGAATTTCTCATGTTTATGGTACACGTGGGCCAATGCGCAATAACCACCATTTCAACAGTCGATCATCGTCGCCTTTTTGCCATGAGCGGTTGTTGTTGCCTCTAACCACCACCGATCGTCATCGCTGGCCAACCGATCGTGTTCCCATCGAAGATTCCCAATCGACATCTCCACCTCCACCTTTGCCCAAATCTAGTTTGATGACGGAGCTTTCATTCATCGACCATTTTCATTCAAAACTTGCATGTCCTCTCAGATACATATACACTTCACCTCCGATGAAAAGTTTCTGCCTTTTCCGCAATCTCTCATCCATTCATGTGTTGTCATCATGGAAAATGAAGAAATTGAGCGACGCATTCCATCTCTTGCTTCAATTCATCAATAGAAGTATGACGTGTTCGTGAGACAATGGCACGGCAAGTTGAGGTGATATCAACGGCGGCTTTACAGGCAGGGCGGCAACCAACTTGGTTTGATGACAACGGCGTAAAGGTGGAGGGGGGAGCAAAAAATGTTGTGTTATATTCGTGTTATTGTTGACCATTAACCAAACACCGTATAAATAGTATAAATTCTATAATTATTTTATATTCTATCCAATCTTATCCTATCTGTCAAAAAAGTCTAGACAACCCAATGCAACTTTAAGGGTGCGGAGAAATGCGGACAAAGTGGAGGGTTCAAATTTTCAAATTTGACTGTGCATTCAATTTCCACATCACCACCAACTCTTGAGTTTGTTGGCACGTTTAAGTTGGCTACAGAAGTTTCTAAATGCTTGAATTTTACTAATTTTACTGTTATAAAGCGATGGACCTAAGCAATGGATTTGATACACACCACCAACCACTTATGGCCGAAACAACCCCTTCCATTATTGTACTCTCTCAAACTATATAAACGCCTGCCTAAGTTACATCATTGTGAAAACTTTGATGTTCGAACCACATAATGTTGAGATAAAAATATTTATAGTATTTACACCACGTGAAAATTCACATCATAAACGAATAAATTGAAAAATAAAATGGACACGGCATTGTTGTAAATCCGAAAAATGGCGGGTTTCAACTTATTTCATGGAACACTAATAGACTGGAAAACCTACCCTCGATTATCTCTTGGCAGCCCCATGCCTACCATAATTCTCAAACCCAATCCATCTCAATCTTTTCGGTCGGTCTCCATGGAACGAACTATTTGTATGGATGGTTCGGTCGGTTGCTTTAGACCCGACGGGTAGGATAATCATTCCGGTCAAAAGTAGTCCATCTCAACTCAATTGGTGTACCGTGGCTTTTATTTTTTTTTCCTATTTCCAATTACTCCTTGTATTTTAGCACTTAAGATTCGAGTTTATTAATACTAAACCATTCAAATCTCGACATTTAGATATAAAATTATCTGCATATTGTTGATGATTTCCGAAAACCTTAAGAGAAAAACGAGAAGAATTTCATACGAGACTCATAGTCCAATCAAGCACAATTCTCAAAATGTAGGATGATAAAATTTTGAAGTAGGCGATATTAAAGTCCTTCTGTGATCGAATATGGTCGGAAAACTGGTAGATGAAATGGTAATGTACATGGAAGCGGATGGAAGCGGACGTCGAAGCAACACTCTTGCAATACTCACCTAAACTTACATCAAATTCTTGGGCCCCAACAACATGACCTTGCGTATGAACATTCTTGATTTCCCCCCTTCTCCAATGAAATCGAAATACTTAAAAGCCACCCATCCAAAAATAATAATAATAAGAAATACTTCAAAGTCCAGTTCATCATGACTTTTGGCAAAATAAATAAATAAGGTTAATACCACGAAAAACTCCAAATCAGTACATCTGTGATAAATTTACCCCAAACTATTTTTTTGACTGCTAAAAATCCTAAATCGGTACACATGTAACAAATTTACCCCAAATTAATTTTTTGACCACCAAAAACCCCAAACTGGTACATTTGTGACAAATTTACTCTCCATTGGTTTCCATTAAATTGGATTAATACCACAAAAAATCACAAACTAGTAAATCTGTAACAAACGGAGGGTGAAACCCCAAATTGGTACACCCGTCAACTACAACATATTGTCCAACTCAGCAATTTAACGGTAATATTTAACGGAAACTAACATAGGGTAAAATTGTCACAGATGTACCAGTTTAAGGTTTGAGGTGGTCAAAAAATTAATTTAGGGTAAATTTGTCATAGATGTACCAGTTTGGGGTTTTTTTTGTGTGGTATTAACACAATAAATAAATAAAAGTAAAGGCAACAAAAAGAAAAAAGAAATAAAAATTGCTAAGAATCAGTTATTTCTATCTAAACCAATCAGGGCAATTAGTGATGGGCCCTATACACTAGAAACCCAACAGGCCAACGCCCACATCCAATCGATGATGCCCTTCAGCTCATCCGACCAATCAAATTTATCCATGTGTAAGATGCAACATGGCATAGAAGAATAAGAATTATGGCATTGCTTTTTCTGTTGTGCAAGTGTCATGAATTGTGATTCTCTCGTACTCTTATACCCTTGTGAGTTAAGCTTAAGATTATTGAGTGAAGAATGAGTGTTGCAGAAGGAACGAATACAACTAGGTTGTGGGAGTGGTGTGAGGATGGTTGGTGTTAAGAGTTCTAGGATGGAACGAATATACTCTTAAGAGCTCTAAAGGCGGGGTTGGCCTCCCATGCATAAACTGGTCAGAAACTGATGCTGCTCTCTTGATGAGATCATGGCAAGCCGAAACCAATTGTGTTACCTAAAATATTATGTGTGTATCATTCGATGGACTAGACGCCCGAACTTAGCTAGACGTGGTACGATCTGATACGAGAAAACTATTAATTGTATTGTTCTTCAGAACGACTACATAACGAGAGCTAGTCTGGTGTGAATGATCCATTAGGCACCTCACGGACTATCCTGCAGTCAAGGAACTATCGGCCTGTGACAGATGGTATTAGAGCAGGATCCCTCCAGTAAGTGAGTTGAGCCGGATAAAACCTGTGGTCTACCCAGTCCTATGATGGCGGAGAGTGAATCGCCAGGGCCAAAAATTGCTCGGACAAAATGCGGCTCTTAACTAGCTTCTAGGATGATAATGGGGGCACAGCAAAGAACCGATTCCTCATTGAATAGGGAAAACATTCTTGGATCAATTTTATTAATATCAAGATGGATATGCTACCATGTTATTAACAAGGAGAAAAACCTTCATTGATCTGCTAAGATCATGAGAATCCAGAAGTAGGCGAAGAATGGTGCTGCCAAAAAGGTGTAGTTGGGAATGTCACACTTGTTAGGGAAAGCACAAGTGACCGAAGGTGCCAAACGGCTCTGATCGAGAAAACCACCAGTGAAGAGTAGTTGTTTTGTTGGGCGAACGTCCACCACTCAAGTAAGTCCCGAAAAAGCGGCTTTGATAGTCAAGAAGTGATGCAAGTAAGCGACAGAGCAATTCTTAATGAAGGCGTTATGGAATTGAGTGAGGGAGAATGTCACAGACTGTGATTCTCTCGTACCTCTGTACCCTTGTGAGTGGAGATTGGGGTTATCGAGTGAAGAGTGAGAGTGCAAATGGGATGCATACAACTAGGTCGTAAGAGTGGTGTCAAGACGGTTGGTGCTAGGAGTTTTAGCATGGAACGAATATACTCTTAAGAGCTCTGAAGGCGGGATTGGCCTCCTGTGCACAAATTGGTCGAGAGCTGATGTCGCTCTCCTGATGAGGCTATAGCAGGCCAAAACTAGTTGTGGTACCTAAAGTATTATGTGTGTATTGCTCAATGAATTAGATGCCCGAGCTTAACTAGGCGTGGTACGATTCGATACAAGAAAGCTATTGGTTGTATTGTTCTTTGGAACAACTACATAGCGAGGGCTGGCCTAGTGTGAATGATCCGTTAGGCGCCGCACGAGTTATTCCGCGATCAAGAAACTGCCGGTCCGTGACACAAGCATTTTTGTGACTAGAATACTCGTACTTCTACGTATGTCCGTAATTTTAATTTTAAAAAAAATTCCCAAGCATTTGCTGAATTTCTGGAGAATTAATTATTTTGTATAATTAAAATGAGCTATACACATGTAAACTACAAGGTGTACATGCTTGGATAAAAATACTTTAGTTTTGGACTTATCTCATTTTTATCACTAATTAATGATTTAACTTGTTAATTTTCTTTTACGTTTAAAATAATTTTATAATGCCATCAATAAATACAAGATTGTTCTGATTTCCAATCAGATAGAAATAGGGTGGTGACCGAAATTCATACAATATCTTTAGACCATCTATTGATTTAAATGTTCCCATCGTAACATAACAAACATTTTTTTATTTATGATACAATTGACTTTTTTTTTGTTGCTAAAATATGATACAATTGACTTAAACTCATGGTGCGAAGTTATCCCGTCCTACAAAATACTATACCTGTACATTACTAGCAAATGTAAATGCATATTCCTCTTATAAAGATTTGGGTTTGCATTATGAGTATTGCTAAGTTCTCCAAAACCGACATACTGAATTGGCACTAATATTTTAGCGGTGTTTTAGACCGTAAATTCACTCTAAAGAAGAGAGCCATATCCAATACTTAATAAAGCTATGCGACATCACTTAGTATATCGATTAATATTTCAATATCATTAGAATGTGCACTCTTTATGTCTACTCCAAAAACTCAAACATATATGTAGTGACAATTACCTCGAGCATGTGATGTGCATATTATCATACTTGAAATTGATGGGGTAATCATAGAACCTTGAAATTCCATTGTTAGGATAAAAGCATGGGTTGAAAAATGGTGAAGCAAGGACGGGTCGGTTCCACAAACATATGTACGAGAGTTCGACGCCTTCTTCCAGTAGCACTCAATTCGTACTTAATATGTCAAATTGAGCTAAAGAGAAATCTTTTCCAGTCACGAATATATGGATCAAATATAAGCTTTCTAGGTTCAGAAGGAAGGGCTATAATCGTTACAGCTACATATCTCCTATTTTTTGGGAACACTTATCTTGGTATCGATCTTTCTCTTTCATCTTTTATCTTTTCATTAATGAATGAAAAGTACGGCTCTTGCCCTGTCTTTATCGTGTACATACACAATTTATCGATTGAATTGATGGGCAAGAGAGCCGATCTCGCCTTTGCCGATCCGCTCGGGGAGAGTTCTCACGATCGCGACGTAGCAGGGTCGGTCTCCCCAAGGCTATGACCCACCCACCGTTCGCTTTGCTAAGCAGTATGCTCGGGATAAAAAAGACAAGGTGGCCTCCGACATAAAACACAAGGCGAATGTATACTCAATATAGGATCTCTAGGGAGCAGGATTCGAGCCCACAAACTAGTTCGGTGCGAGCGGATAAAATTTCGAAACAAAGGGGGTCGGAGCTACACCGACGAGACCCCGTGCACGCCGGACACGGCCGAGCACCGGCCCCGGGTGTCGGCCGGATGCGTGTTCGGTTCGCCCTAGATGCTTCCTTCCTTGGACCGTCGGCAATCTCTCTCCCTCCCTCCCTCCCTCCCTCCCTCCCTGTGCTTAGCTGTCAGCACAAGCTCAGCAGACAAGTCAACACACGTGGCACCCCTCCCATTGGTGCACCGACGAACAAAAAGAAAGAGAGAGCACTACTTCACTTCCATGGTTTTGGTTTGTCTACATGTACATATATCGTCACTCTCTCTCTCTCTCTCTCTCCAACACATCATCGTCACATGTCCGTGCTTCGACAGGACGCGCCCCACGAAAACACAAGAGAACCACCACCACGCAGCGCTTGTGTCGGCAGAGCAACCTCGGTCATTCCATCTCCTAGAGAGAGATAGAGAGAGAGTGTGTGTCCAGGACGTCACCAGCATTTCCTCTCGTTTTCCCGAGAAAACCTGCCACGGCCCAATCGGGAAAGCACCGAGAAGACGTCGGGTTTCGTGCGTTTTCTTTTCGGGGAGAGATGATGAAGAGAAGGTCTAACGTGCACGGAAGGGTGAGCGAGAGCTCCGCCGCCGCCGCGGCGGTCACGTCGTCGTCGTCGTCCTCCTCCTCGAGCGCCGCGAGCAGAGACGAGGAGGTCGAGTGGGAGATGCGGCCGGGAGGCATGCTGGTGCAGAAGCGGGCCGGGACCCCGGATCTCCCCGCCCCGAACGTCCGGGTCCGGGTCGCCCACGGCGCGATCCGGCACGAGATCGCCGTGAATCCCCAGGCCACGTTCGGTACGCACATTGATCCGGCGACACCGGTCCCGAAGAAGATAACGTTTTTCTTTTTATCGCCCCCCCGTTCTTCAGTTTACTGTGTCTGTGACGCTGGCTCTTGGGGGACAGGTGAGCTGAAGAAGCTGCTGGCGGCGGAGACGGGGCTGCAGCCGGCGGAGCAGCGGCTGGTGTTCCGCGGCAAGGAGCGGGACGACGGCGAGTACCTGGACACCTGCGGCGTCAAGGACCGGTCCAAGGTCAGCCTCGTCCAGGACCCCATCAGCATCGAGCGCCGGCTCGTCGAGATGCGCCGCAACGCCAAGATCCAGACCGTCCACCGCGCCGTCTCCGGCGTCGCCGCCGAGGTCGACAAGCTCGCCGACCAGGTAATTCCTTCTTCAATTCAATATCATCGTTCTCCACCACCGGTGATTCTGACTATTAGGGGTAAAAAGATCAAGGAAAATTAAATATATTTTGGAAAACAAGATACTTGCCTTTTTATGTTGATCATAACGCAATACTAATTACTAAAAGAACTTGGCCATCGAATAATCACGCATTTAAATCTTGTATACCGGTTTTACTGTTGTGCCACTGTTCGCTTCGATGATGGCCGAGAGATTGTGTTGTAAGGATGCATTTGTTTCGCGCAAAATACATGAGTTGAAAAATATTTTCATAAAAATAATTTTCGTATCGCTTGAAATAATTAGTCAACGAAAAATATTACATTATCGACAAAAATTTACGCCTAAATATTTTTATGGATGATGAAAATATTTTTTCATTCTTTCTTGTAATAAAGTTTCTGGTAATAAGCGATTATTTTTATGAAAATATTTTTAAAATTTTTTATTTTTCGTGAAACAAACGGAAGCTAAACGTCCCGCTCCCTCTTCGGCATGAAACTACACTATTGTTCTTGTTGGTCATGCATTAGAATAATAGTTGTCGTGGGTAGTTCGGTCTTTTCCCGGGTCGACGCCGGTTTTAACCCTTCGCTTTAAAGGGTATCTTGCACTTTATAGCATCTTCCTAATGGTTCTCAAGCGATCGATTGGTTTGGAAATGACAGTGAGAGGTGGAAGTTCAGTTTGAGTGGCAGTGTTATTTTCAAGAGATCTTTCCCTTAAAAAATTTCGGGTAAATTTGAAAAGTGAAAGTGAGATGCGTGGGCAAAAACGTGGATTATCTCAATGTGAACTTTCGTGAGCAACAAATTTTACTATTTTGCCGTCAAACAAAGCTACTTCACCACCTTTCCTCTACCAAAGAGGAACAAACTAGTGGGTTCGGGGGGGGGGGGGGGGGGGCAATATCGGAAGAATGGAAAAAAGTGAGTCGAATGGAGACTTTGACCTGATATTATGGAGCTGTAGGGACATCTACCCTCCCATGTTTGGCCTTTCAAATTTGGCAAAATCCATCAACCCAAGTGGTTCTAGGGTTGGCAAATAAGGTAAAAATGAAACCGCCCCGGGTCATGCTAGGAGCTCGGCGCCGCTACGGGAGAGCTCGAGGGACGAACCGGAAACCCTTCACTAGAGGAAGGGCCGGACTCGCCGCCGGCTCAGCCAGCCTTTACTCGGGCGGGGGCTCGAGTCATAAAACCTCTTGTGTTCGAAATCTATAGCGCCTACGGATCTTACCTGCTCTGATACCACGTTGAAATAAAAAGGGACGTGCTTACTGATAATTCGAGTATTTTAATTTAATATAAATATTCCGTAGCGTCTTCGAGGGATCTTATAACGATACCCCGTAGTTCTAGTGCAAATTGCTCATCTTCCCTTTTTTTTAACCTATTCATTTGTGTTTGGGTTTAATCTATCAAGGGTCTCTAAGATTGGGAGATGATTGGAGAGGGACAAGGGTGGGTGGAAAACAGTTGCATTGTCATGATCACGCATAGCTGGCAACGTTGTTTTGTTGTGGGGGGCCAATGTGGCAATGACAATGGAAGCAACCACATTGGTGGCTTTTCTGCTCCACCAACATCAATTGTGGGAACAATTTCTTGTATGCCATCGAACGCACGTGAGACCACTCCATATCGGTCGTTCGATACGGACCACAGTACGTCCGTGTGAGATTCATATGATTTGATACTTCATATGGAGCGGGGCTCACATACTTAATTAGGGGTTGTGAAGTTGAGGTTTTGTTTAAAGTGGAGTCACGTGACGAGGGATTGCAATCTCCGAAATGGTGTCTAGTTGCTTCGTCGGAACGTTGCTTACGAATCCCCTCGGCCCTTGACTAAAAAGGGAACGAGGTGGTGCGTGATGTATGCCTGATCATAGAACGTTGTCTCTGGGTCCATCGGGCGGGTCGGGACGGTCCGTTTTGGGTGTCTTTCTTTAACGTGGCGGGCGGCGCTTAAGAAAGCGACTCCCTCCTGAGGATTATTATCTTGTCGTCCCGACCCGTCCGATCCGGTTACGGATATTAGACGTGGGGCGACCTATTCGGTCCTTTTCCTCCTCTCTCTCTCTCTAATCGGGTATAAAATGTGGACCATAGGGTTCTATATGATTGCTACTATATTTCAAATGGTTTCTGCTGTGTAATATGAAGAGAATTGATGCAAACTGTCCGCAATGTGACTAGGTCTCTGCCATCGACAAATCGATCGCCAAGGGAAATAAGGTCCCGGAAGTTCAGATCACGACGCTGATAGAGATGCTGATGAGGCAAGCCATCAAGCTCGATGGCATCTCCACCGAGGGCGACACCGCCCCTCTCAAGAACTTGCAGGTACGCGCCGTGGCGACCCATTTAAATCTCCTCTCTTTCTCGCGTCCCCCCATTCAATTGATGCTTTAGAAGCAACGGACAGTTTTATCTGCTCGCGTCTCTTTCGATGAACGTCGATGTCCATTTTCCGAAATGCATGCCTTATGTACCAGTACTAGAATTGGATTGAACAGTGACATGATTCTCCATGGTTGTTCCTACAGGGAAAGAGAGTGCAGAAATGCGTCGAGACTCTCGACGTGCTGAAAGTATCGAATGCCAGGATAAAGCCCGTGATCGTCACGACAAAGTGGGAGACATTCGATCATCCCCCGACAACGGTGGCAGCGCCGGCGGCAACGACTGCTGCCACGAACCCATGGGAATTTTTCGATTGATCTCTGATATATGTAGTAGTATTCCTCTTTTCTCTACGTTTCTCTTCTTTGATTTTTGTTGTGTAAATTGGGTTGAGAGAGACATAAGCGAGCTGCATGCTTGTGGGTTCAACAAATGAAAACCTAGAGCTTTCTTTCTCTCCATGGTCTTTTGCCAAATAAGGGACTGGTTATCATACGCGCGCTAGAAATTTTGTCATGCAAGTAGTGATTTATGAATGCTAAGATGTTATGCTGCACATTCATCTTGTATCAGATGCAAATGGTCGATGCTTAGATTAGTCGTTAACTTTATATCTTGGCGAACAACTACCTCGGCAACGGCGGCTGTCGCGGTCACCGACCCCGCGTCTGCGCCGAGCTTGTCTCGCCCTATAGTGGAGCTCCGCCTGGTGCACTGAGCTCCCCCTTGTCGCCATCGAAGAGCTGCTCATCAATGGGGACGAGCCCCCGAGCCTTAAAGCGCGCGCATGTGGAGCTCCCTGGCAAACCGGCGAGCTCGGTTCCGGTGGAGCTCGTCGATCGATGAGTCGGGCAGAGAAGACCGACCACGAGCTCTCCCTTCATTATGAGCCGTGTTGCTGGAGACGAGGGTAGTAGAGAGAGACGACAACGGACAACAGAGCCACGGCCCGGAACAGGGACGGCGGTTCGCCGGCGACGACGGAAGCGGAGGACGGTGGCAGCCGGTCTGCATTTGGGGTTGAGGGGCCGAAGATTGGAATCACGGAGAAGACTTAAATTGAAATGTAAATGGAAATAAAAAGGGAAAAAGGTCCCACCGAGATTTGAACTCGGGTTACTGGATTCAGAGTCCAATGTCCTGACCACTAGACCATGGGACCATTTTTGTCTGAATACCCACTACTTTTGTATCTCATTATGAGTTTCTCTAGGTCACCTTCGTCGGTAATCTTAATTTTTTTTTTTTTTGGTCAGCAAACATTATATCTTATACTCATTCAAATAAAAGTTTGCGACAATATACAGGCTTCAGAACAAAGCAATTCCAAAAGACAAGTAGGGGATAAGCGACCCAATTAACCGGTAAATATTTATTACGGTGGGCTTTGGCGACCCAATCCGCAATTTGATTACTTTCTCTTCGCAATGGGTCATCTTTAAATTGCTGAATAACTTTGCACGGCCTGGGCTTCGGTGATCAATGCATAAGCTTCCCAACTCACTTGATCTCGCTCCTCGCTCATCACCTCCACTGATCGGTCGATCCGTCTCTAACACGATCTTCAGCTCACTTTTTGCTTCAAAATGTTTTAGGGCTTCAACAAAGCAGCGCCTCCACTTGAATCGCCGACGAGACCGTTACCGATCGAGCAAACCCATCTATCAAGATACCCCGGCTGTCTCTAAGATACACACGCAATGGCCCCTTCCCATGTTTCGACAACAAAAGACCCATCTACGTTAATTTTAATCACCCCGGAGGAGGAGGGGTCCAAATCGGAGGTAATTCTTTTCTCGTGTTTGCGGTTTTCCATTCGTTTTCTCGACCATTTGCTGAGGTTTTTCTCCGTGGCGATGGCCGAGATGACGATGTGTTGGGGTTTAACTTATGAGCTCGAATACCAAGTCGTTCGAAATTTCCAAATCGCACAATAATAGAGCAAGGAGCTCAAAGGATATAGAGGTATGTTTAAAATTCAGCAACCATTCCTCTATCCGAGTCACCGCGTACCTATCAACTTCAATATTTACCGAAGGGTTGTTCCATATTTGTCGAGTCCGGGGCATAGCGTAAACAGATGCTTTATGGATTCGGATTCTGTTGACATATCAAGCAAGTGGCTTCGGGTATGATCCGTCTTCGAACCGATTCTCCTTAGTTGCGAGGGCGTTTTGGCAAACTTGCCAAAGAAAAATTTGATTTTGGGTTGTAATTTTGCCTTCCAAATTCTATTCCATAATTCTCTGGGGGTTTGGTACGACGTTGAAGCTTGATTCCGATTTGGTGTTTCTTTTTGTGCTTTGATGTTGTTATAGGCACTGGTGTCCACACCAATTTGTCCTCTGGAAGTTGGGGGTTAATGGGAATGGCTAAAATTTCCTGGGTTGTTTCAAAGTCAAACACCTCTCTCACCCTTTTTTCATTCCATTTGGCTTCCTCCCTGACCATTAGTTTGGATACCCGAGTTGGATCCTCTTTGTTCGTAGGCCCTCCAATCAAGCCTCTCGACAGCCACTTATCTTCCCTTATGTTGATTTTCTCACCATTTCCAACCACCCATCGAATTGACTGACTGATTACATTACGGCCTAAAATCAAGCTTCGCCATCCCCATGAGGGACTTGAACCTTTTTTGCATGTAATAAATCTGTATGAGGATAATACAATCCTTTAAAAAGCCGACTCCGAGAGAGTATGGATTCGGATTAGTCTCCATGCCTGTCGCCCCAATATTGCCTCATTAAATGTAATTAAGTCTCAAAACCTAGGCCACCTTCATCCTTTCTTGCTTTAAGAGTGTCCCAGCTTTTTCCAGTGTAACCCCTCCTGTTTTCGAATTTTTCCGCCAGTAAAGCTGCAATTTTCCTTTCAATAGTTCGACAAATGGATAGGGGGATTTTGAAGATGGACATTGCATACTGCGGTAGAGCTTGCACCACTGTTTTAAGGAGGATTTCTTTCCGCCTTAGAAAAAAAATTTCTTTCCAACCTTCCAATTTCTTATTGACTCTATCGAGGATCCAAGCAAACATTTGTTTTTTTGAGCAACCCCAATCGGATGGTATTCCCAAATACTTCCCTATCTTCTCTATCTTAGGAACTCTCATTCGTATGTCATATTTCTTCTTAATTCCCTTGGGCAGTCTTTTGCTGAAAAACATACCCGACTTGTTCGATTTAGTGCTTGTCCAGACACAAAATAGTATTGATTCGAACCGCTGCCACATTTTGACACTCAACAATCTTTCCTGCAAGGAAGAGTATTAAATCATCCGCAAAAGTAGGTGAGATAAAGTTGGGCAGAAGTGGTTTAATTTGATCCCTTTGATACTTCCATTTCCCACCGCTGTCTGCAGCAAAACAGATAGCACATTAGCCATAATGATGAAAAGGTAGGGAGAAAGGGGGTCACATTGTCTTATTCCTCTAGTAGGATGAAAGGTAGGTAAAGGTTCCCCATTCATTTTAACAATGTATGAGACTGTGGAGACACATTTCATAATCCTTCCAGTGATATTGAAATTGCACAAGCTTATAGGGCGAAACTGATCTAGCTTATAGGGCGAAATTGATCTAGCTTCTCTGGATTAGGAACTTTAGGAACGAGGGTAATAAAGGTTTTATTTAATTCAGGGTTAAGATTTCCTGAACTAAAGAAAAGTCTTACCTCCCTGAATACTTCATTTTGGATGTCCTTCCAGTGATATTGAAAAAAATTTCCACTCAAGCCATCTGGTCTGGGGGCCTTTAAAGCGCCTAGCTGGAAGGTTGCCTTAGTAACCTCCTCAAGAGTTACTTCCCTGCTTAAATCCTGGTTGACCTCTTCACTTATTAAGCAAGGGATACCTAAATCTTTCGTAGCTACAGCTCCTTTTATCGACTTTTGCTTTCGAGCATTTGTTGTTTTCTTTTTTTGGACCGAAGTTTCTAGTTAGTAATTGGGATATGTGCTCTAGAAGTCATAAAATTTATCATGAAAGTGCAATTGAGTCCTAAAACTTGCAAAAAAGTACACTCATGTTCTTAAACTTGTCAAATTTGTGCAATTAAATCTTTCCGTTAACTCCTTAGCTAACGAAAAATACTGACGTGACTTTCAATCGATGAAAGAACTCTATGTCGATGATCGCGATTTCTCACCCATCATCGACAATTGTAAACATTGAGTTCAAAGCACTTATTCGATCTAGGATAGATTTCTTTATAAGAAACATTGATTAACTGTTAATTCGAGAAGCACGTGGCGGAGGAAATCTCCAACAACCTGGGAAGTTTAATGTGGGAGTATCAGGCTCTATCATCAACCCTCAAGCTCCACTCATGTCGTGTTGATCAAACCAACCCATTAGTTATTTATGTAGGCAAAGACCAATTTCGGCTACACTTAATAAGTTGGGTTCAAGGTTGAAGTTGTCAATTATGCAGAGAAGTTGTTAATTTGATGGATAAGTTATCAATTTCGTCGGCATCAATCAATTACCTCGCTGTCGATTTACAAGCTTGTTGTCGATTCTGAAACAACCAATTGACCACCTCACATCCAAAGGCCGTTCTGATAGACTTTCATAGCTATTTGTTCAACTTCTAGGTGTCTGTTTGACTTCCAAGACTGGGACACGAATTTAGAGAGTCATATCAAGTTTCAATGCATCTAATGATTAATTAAATGCATTTAGCCTTAGCTATCTAGTCTCTTAATTCATAACTTTTATTAGTCTTTATTGTAATGCTGCTTTTAAGAGTCATTATTAGGTGAATTCCTAAGACTCTGTTCGTTTATCGGGAATTCGAAGAGTCTTCTCTTTTGTTTAGTAATGTCTCTATAAATTGAGGTGTAATCTCATTGTAAAGAGACAAGACTTGAATATTGAGAATATATAAGATTTTCCTCTGTGTGAGTGACTATCTTTCACGATTCTTTATCCCTGGAAGGTGGATTCTTCTTTGGTGGTGAGCCAAGAAGTTCTTTATCCTTAATGGGTGGATATCACCTTAGGACTTGGTGGTGAGCTTCCTATCTCGGTTTTTTATCCTTAAAAAATGGATTATTCCTTAGTGATGAGATTCGTCCTTTAGATCTTAGTGGTGAGCTTCTCCTATTCTAAAGTCCTTTCTCCTTGGCGAGTGGCTTGTCCTTTATCCTTGGCGAGTGGCTCGTCCTTTAAGCCTCGGTGGTGAAGTTCGTCAATCCCAATCTTTATCTTTAGCTGGTGATGCATCTTTTAGGTCTTGGTGGTGATCATAATCCATCCTACACTTACATTTATCCATCAACGTCCATTTCATACACTCTAATCTATCCGTACTTCTTTCAAAATCACTAACATCAATCACCTGCACCCACATCTGCACCCACAAGTGCATCAAAAGTTGAGCTAACTGACTATAGGAATGATATATCGATCAGACTCAGGGAAGATGAAAATGACCTCGAGATTCTGCAGCAGAAATGACAAAAAGTGGTCGTGTTGGGTTTACATTGAAGTCTACCATCTTCAATTTTTTACAAAACAGGAGGAAAAAGTCGGAGAATCGGTCAGTCAAGGTATAACTTT